TAAGGACGCGTTAAAACAACGCATCTAGGGCGTGAAGTGGACATTCATGACCCGCGGCATGAAGATAATGACCAGGATACGAAGTGACTTTAATGCTTATCACGATTGATATCCACAAAATTACATCTATGATCTGCCTTTAGAAGAAGCCTATCAATAAAACTACACGTGTATTAGGTACCGATAGTTCTCGTGGTGCATGAACATTAGTGAGTGTTCAAATATAGCGGCCACTAAAAGCTACTTCAGCACTCTGAGGCGTGTAGATTTGACGATATTCATAAAGCATACTGTATCTATGATCTGATCGGGAGGAAAGGTGTACGTTATTGTTTTCCTGGACTTTAAGTTCCTATTAATCCTACGAACTGCATTATACCCTAGGGTGGCAGGTAACTTGAGCGCCCCTTTTATATAAATTAACTAACTAATGTTGTACATATTTTAGTGACTACGGGAACTGTCTCAATATACTGTTATTCTTAATTCTCGGAACTAATTTTTTTATTATAACAGCTCGTAAATAAAATTTTATATAAATCTTTCGTGTAATTGACTCCTTTGCCTGTTGAAGCCTACACAAATACTTAGCTACAGCAAAAAGGTAAAAGAAATATGTCAAGGAAATACAACAGAAACCTTCAGTGAGTCATAGTCGCTACACCAAAGGATCCATCATCACATCAGCACTTCTCTCAAGTTTTGCATTTTTTGCAGGAGGGAGGTGTATTCGGAATTATTTATTGCTTTATGACCTTTACCGCTGTACCTACAGTAACTTTACATTTGTATTTCCTACGTTACAGCAAAACAATTGCGTTCTGGAAATTTTTCGACGTTCCCCTACCCAAGTGACTTTTTTCTAGCTTCAGCGTGAAATTAATTTTACTTATTATGATTTTTAATTGATATCTGATATAGCCACTCATCCGCGCATTGAAGGAAAGGAGGCTTGAGGTTCTATATTGCAGGTGTCGTTGATTAGACATATGGGTGGTGAAAAGTATTTCTCTGCGGTAGATGTTCGTTTGGTTGGATTTAATCTGGCGGACGGGTATTGAGTTTTGGAAGCATTGAGCTGAAGACGGGGCTAGGGGTTGTACACCATTCCAGCATCCCTATGAAGTTATAATCAGATCTTGTCTTTAATAAGAGGCAGTAACAAGAAGTGACGATTCTCCAACTAACAATTATTAGGGTTTCATGAGCAATTATACAGTACTCCTTACACAGTACTGTAAGTTGCAAGAGCATTGGCAAAACGTTCCTAGATCTCAACAGGATACTCCAGTCATTTAAGAGGTTGTACAAGGGCTGCAATTTTCAGTTATACAACAAACGTGAAACACTCTTGTAGCTGCTAAGGAAATTTTGCGTCACTGTAAGATTCAATTTTTGTCAACTATACTACCATTCTGTTACATGATTCTACATTATTGCAACCAAACTGTTTATTATGTATTGTATAGGCGAAGTGAATAATATATAAATAACAAATTACATTAGTAGTAGGACAACATCGATTCTAACTCACTTGGTAACCCATGCATCAGGTTCTGCTTATTTTCTACCTGTATGAGTTACATAATCATGGAAGAACAGAATTAAAGTTGTATCCATCATTCTATTACTCAGGGAAAAAAATTCCCATCGACACAGGAATTAAAAATCAATACAATCGAACAATTGGATATGTAATTGGACAAGATCTGAATTATTATCCAGTCACAATGAAACGAAAAGGTACAATTATGTACTGTGGAAAATACAATATAAGGCAGTTGCTTCGACAGGGATACATTATTTTCAATAGAAAAACATATTCTATCAACAGTTTCAACAACACATTCCATCATTTCGCAGCTTCATATATAAGTTGTTTTATATGCGATTAAATATATTAACATCACACTACCGCCGTCGTTTCATTTACTTCTCTTCCCATATTATTATTATTAGTATTATTATTATGACTAGAGGATGATTGAAATTAGGCTTGGTTGGGCGAGGCTTGTCTCTTGCATATGCATAAAGCTTTTCTCAATCACTACTCACTTTTGTGTGTCATATGGTATTTAGGCCTTTTTTTCTGCAAACATGACGTCACGTTTTGGCACATCTCACCCTCGGGTCATTGGCGATACACTTCTTGCATGTCTGCAAAGTCTTCAGATACGCAAGGTCAAATAGAGGGCAAACTAACAGAACCTGATTTATGGGTTACCAAGTGAGTTAGAAGCGGTGTTGTCCTACTACTTACATTCATCTTGTTTACTTACATATCGGCCATTGTGAATTCCATAGACAAGTATATGATAAGCTTCTACACTATGATACAAGGCTATTGAATGACTAGTGTAGCAAATTTTATTGTGATTATCCTATAAAGAAGGGACGTAATTTCTACGGGTTTCGGATTTGATTCATATTTTAATAATGATCAAATATACAGGGTGTTCCATAATTATTGCGACAAAATGATAGGGGTTGTAGAGGGCATCAAAATGAACAATTTTGCCTTATAAACCCCTGTTCGGAAATATGCCGTTTGGGCTGCAGCAAAAAAAAAGATCAGTTTCTTGAAACAGCTTACCTACAATAATTGCTCGAAGTGTCCTCCACCTTGCTCAATACACAGCTGTGCACGATTGTTCAATGATCGGCGAACTCTGTGGCATTACCCCGGTATGTCCTGAACATGTGCGGACGCGGCCATCACTCTTCCCAGTAGCTCTTGTTGGTTGGGTACAGTAGTTTCGTACACTAAAGCTTGCAGATGGCCCCAGAGAAAATAATCCAGTGGGGTCAGGTCGGGTAACCACGCAGGCCAAGGCACAGGGCCACCTCGGCCTATCCACCTATTTGGAAATTTGTCGTCCAAATACTGCCGCACTTGTAAAGAAAAGTAGGCTGGAGCGCCATCGTGTTGAACCCACATGTTGGCTCTTATGTTCAGTGGCACATTTTCCGGTAGCACATGCTGTAAGAATCGACCATAAGCATGCCCATCCAAACGTGGTGGAAGCAAATATGGCCCGATGATATGCTCGTCCACAATGCCGCACCAGATGTTAATTGAAAACTGATGTTGGTCTCTATGGATGGCTATGGCATGAGGGTTTTCTTCATCCCAAATGTGACCGTTACGGCTATTAAAATAACCGTCCTTTGTAAAACAGGACTCGTCGGTGAACAAAACGTAGCGACCAAAGTTTGGTTGCCTCAACTCCTGCTGCAGCCACCAACGACAAAAACGTCGACGCGGCAGATAGTCTTCTGGACCCATGGCTTGGACTTTTAAAAGGTGGTATGGGTGTAGTTGCTGGTGTCATGGAGAACCTGCCAAACAGTAGTTTGAGACGCTCCCATATCATGTGCAATAGCACGCACGCTTGTACGCGGATTGGCCTCTACATGGTGCAGAATCGCTTCCTCAAATTCTACTGTGCGCCTTGTGAAGGGCCGCCCTGCTCCCGCGAGGTGTCTGATGCTGCCACTGACACGAAGACGTCCATGAAAAGTTTCGCATACGAATAACGCTGCATTTTAACACTAAGGTACTGTTATTTACTATCTAGTTTGACGCACCGCTCAGACAAATTAAATAAATCGGTGTGGAGAATTTACGATAACAAAAATGTAAACACAGCAGGCTTTTTTTACAAACCGGCGAGATCATGAAATGTGCTAGACGTACATTTTGCAGCTGGTGAATTTTCTGTTTCTCCTAGGAGCTCTTAAGGTAAAATTAGCGGTAGTGCTCAAACGGCATATTTACGAACAGGGGTTTATAAGGCAAAATTGCATATTTTTATGGCCTCTACAACCCCTATCATTTTGTCGCAATAATTATGGAACACCCTGTATATATATACACATATAAAGCAAAAATCTGAACGTGTCTGTGTTAGACGTTCCACATATCATATATTTAGACACAATTACATTAATGTTTGTATCATTTTATATCTTTAAAGTCGGACTGAAAAAAAATTATTTGATTTTCAATAGAGGCATATGTGTTTTACCCTATAGGGAGGGTGGTTATGTATTAACATTGCATCTTCTACATTGTCTCAGAGTTTGTACCAGATCTAGATCTTCGGTTTGAAAAGTTGATAAAATCTTTTAAACGATTATTCATGCGCTGCTTGTCTTTGAAGAAGACATATATTGGTTACAGGATTCAACCTAAGAAGATGGCAGTAGAAGGTCAGGTTATGGTGAAGTTGTATATCCATATATTTAGCAACAAAGTTATACCAAGCACAGCAATTTTGTACTATTCAAGTTGTCATATTGTTGTCTGTACGACAGTCGTATAAGTGCTTCCGTTGGGAGTAATTTGATGGCTAAAGTAGTAACTTTGCATACCAACAACAAGGTTAGGGTTTGCTGTATAAATTTTGCTATGGATGCCACACCACAACTATTTTGACTACCTTGCAGATATGACGTATAAAATAGTTGTATAAACGTTTAAAGTTTGTCCTATACGGTGTTGTATAACTATGCTACAAGAATGTTTTACACATCTCATTTTAGAGCAAATAGGTATGCTGCAGAAAGCAAATTTGAATTCCACACAACATTAACGTAGCATTTTGGTGTTCAGGCAACAAACAAAGAGAGTTTTTATGGTTTTATGGCCGAACACTCCTTTTACCAAAAACTCATAGCACTACTTTGCTAGTTGTCCTCTCCTCTCCTCTCCAATTCATTCGCACAGATCAATTTGTCCCTAGAGCTGTCATTTGGTGCGGGTTCCGTATTAAGTGGAGTAATTATTTTCTAATGATATACTAATGCGACAAAATCTCGATGTGATACTGGGTATGACTGAGGGAACACATCCACCGCCGACTCGAAGTTTTAAGAAGTGTTTGCTGCTCAGCCTTGATAATATCCTCAACCACATTTACACTAAAAAAACAGACATGCTAATTAGCCGAAGAAAAATCGGCACAGCATCCATCTAGCCATCAGACGCCGGTCGTACCATGGAAATCGGCGTACTTCCCGTGCTTAGACCTTCGACTGTTATCTGCGGTTCTTACGGAAAACAAAAGACGCCACATTGGTACGACGTCGACCAGTAGGCAGTAGTTGCGAATAGTACCTGCACCAAGCTGTACTTTCACTATCGCTACACAAACAATTCAAAGTTTATAAGTTGGGGTGCGCTTCAGTTTTGCTTCTCAGTTGATTTTTTGATCGGTCGCGTTCAGAAGGGTCCGAAGTACCCCCACCGGTTGCATATCTGTAACTTGCGGTTTGTAGTGATTTGAAAGTCTTGTGCAAAAATTGTTCGAGAAAGGTAAGTTAAAAAGATTAATATTGGAATTTTTGTGTTAACATGCTTATTTCCATCTACAATACTTAACCTTTTTCAATGTTTTCGAACTGTTCTCAAAAATGTTCAACCAAAGATGAAGAGTCTTATCAGTTCTAAGCCTAATGGTTATTTAGCTGCATGGTAAATTATAGTATTTATTATTACACTTACAACCTCTTCAACGTTTTTGAATTGAAAATGGTTCAGAAATTACGATAATAGAAAGCCATCCAGGCAAACGATGAACATTTCTGATATGACGCGGGAGCAATTAACGAACCTTTTGAAAAGCTTCATAAATTTTTGGTAATGATATCCTCCCCTATGCTCTAAATTTCATGATTTTTCAACAACAACAGCATTTCGCACTGCAAAGATCAAAATCAGTGCTGTATTTGCTGCGATAAGCGGCGGCAGAAGTTTTGATAGCGAACATGACAGAAATGGTCTTCTTGATGGAGAGATCTTGAAAATCAATCCAAATTTCAACATTACAATAAAAAAGGCCAAAAAGGTACCAACAAAATGGATAAGAATATTTGAAACTTTGAATTGAATTTGAAAATGATAAGAGATTAACTTGTTGACTAAATATGCTTGTGTGTAAATGGTTGATTTTGTGCCTGCTACAGGTGAGCATGAAGTGAACGACAGCTAGTTCCAAGTTGACGTCCTGTTGGAAAACCTGTAGTAAATATTGTCAAAAGACGACATAATGCCACTTTTCCAGTTACGTAATACCCCTGCGGGTTGTCCGGGCAACCTATTGTCTCTTCCTGAAGGGCATTAAACTATGAAAAAAATCAAGTTTAAAATTTCTCCTGTTAATGGAGAGTGATAAATAGGTCAGTCTGAAACGATTAATTACAGCTGACAAACAAATTCCTCACATTCTCCTTAAATTATCTTCTAAAGCTATAAATCACTTTATACAGTACCTATTATGGCATTGGTTGATCAATTATTCCCAATGCGAAAGAGTATTGGACCGTAAAGTGTGCTCTAGTTCGTACATTTAGGCAGGATACATGACTACAATATGCTCAACGGCTGACAAGAGAGCTGGACCTTTGCTTTTTAGTTAAAAGTAATCATTTTGAAGTGTTTTGTTAGACTAAGGAGCAAGATTCAGCTTTCGATTTATTACAAACGTAAATTTTGTCCCTTCGAAATGAACCGATTTTCGAAAAAGAGTTTTAGTAAAATGCTATTAGAACAATTCAGAAAATATCCATTTGAATGATTGCAATGTACATCATCGACTGATTGCTGAAGGTCAAAATAATGTAAGTTAGGTATGGAAATCTTTGCCAGCACAACTAATACCTGACGTATATCGAACGAGTACTTGCTTCGTACTTTGTGATCCTTTTTACAATATTGCAAACGTTAAATCATTATACCTGTCTGTTATTGCGGCGAAGGATGGTTATGAAAATAAAAACTCGCCAAGTATACTGCAGACAGATGCATACATTAGCTTCTGCCCCCTTATAAAAACAGCATTTAATTTGCCAGTAAGCAAGGCTGCATCAGTAAAAAACATAGTTTTGACAGCTCGTTGTATCGCGACTACCTCAAAGCGATATTTTCTTTTCGTTTCTGATTAATGACTGTGACACACAATTTTTCACAGCAGATTTGGTCGTTTTTTGTCCTATCCATATAGTTACAAAAAACCGCATACCTGTAATTAACAGCCTTGCTGAAATCCTTAGGCAAATTTATGTATATGACAAAAAACAACTGCATACATTACCAGACGCTAAAGAAAATGCAAAGCTCAACTATCCATGACATGGAACTGTGCAAATTTGCATATTTTCCACTCTTCGACCTTAAGCTCCTATTCGTAGCTCTTGCGCAAAGTGAAGTTACGTATGAATTGTCTTTAGAATGGCTGCTTTTGAAGATGATGTATTCGCGTATCTTAAAAGAATGCTTAAATTAGCCAGTTTGTATTATAGTCAAACCATTCTGAGGTGAAATGAGCATCGGGATTTCAAAATCTCAGGTGGTGGTGTCATCAGGCTTCAGTTCATCTAGGCCTTTGGAAGTCGTTGAAGCATAAGAAGGAATAAAAAAAGCCGGCTAGCTTGCATATATTATAGGTGTAGCTGTCAGAGCAACGAATAAAAGGCAAATTGAGACTACCGAGAAGAAGAATGAATTGTTTCCTGTGTACTATAGTTTTAAAAGAGATAAAAAGCTGATTAATTATTGGAATAAGCTTTACTGTGCGAAGAGACCTTGCCCTTTTGGAATATTGTATGGTAGTTCTCAGGCAAAGATTATCTACCACATTTGTTTGAAACTTGCGATTATTAATTTACTTTTAGCTGTTTTACCTGTTTAAAGCTGGAAACTCTTTTGTAGTAACTGTAACTGTAAGGAGGGGATATTGAACCGGTACTTTTATTCACTTGTACATATACAGGGTGTTTCTGATGCTCGGGACAACAATACAAGTGGTAACTTCTCGGATTATTCCCAGACCTTTTTATACCTACGTTTCTGAATTAACGAAAATCGTTCAGATTAACCTCACCCAGCTTGCATGCGAGGCTCCATATTTCTCTAATAGCAGATCAAGGTAATTTTTGTATGAGATACATTCAGAAATAATTCGATTCACCAGTTTTATTACATTTTACTAGAGTAGTTTTAAATATTTTTAGTTGGCCGCATTGATAAGGGAGTTCAAGCTAGAAGATATTTTTGATCGGCACACAGAATGAGGCATACTCAGTAAAACCCCTGAGTCGTTCATTGCACATGTCACATGATTGCTGCGCTAAATATTCATACCAAAGGTACTAGTCATTCTTTTCTCATCGTTATACAAGCCAGTAAGTAGAAACCGATTCCTTGCTTCCTTGTACATTGATAAGCATCATTCGCCTCACAATTGGTTGAATGTCAACCCAGTTGGCCTCGCTTACATCCCTGACACAATTGTCATCTCGCCGAGCGTCAATTCCAGCTGTCTGTGGCATAGTCAACCCATCTACCACATTCAAGTAGATCATTAGGATTGTCCTTCTCTTCATTGCAATATGTATATACCTGCTAGTATACTCTCTCGTGCGTACTCCTTGATGATCTCCACGGCCTGTCCACCAATGCTTCTATTAAACACTCACCAGCAACAATGTTGAATTTGTTGAATGTAACTTACCAAGACATATCTGGTCATTTTGAAACATTTTCGTAGGCCAGAGGCTTTACGTGAGATGCTTACTAATAAAAATGTCATTTCGAAAATTTCTATCATATGAATATTCGAAAATTGTCCAGGGACGAGACAGATTTAGAAAAGTCTAACGAATCATCAAGTACGAGCCCGTTCCCACTTCAGTTGGCCCACTTCAAGATTTGTACCAAAATATGCCTTTATAAACTAAACATGACGAAACTATTTACTTCTAAAACAATTTATTTTCTCAAAAACATTTTACATACACTCTAGTCGTAAAAAGTACATATTTGGAATCACTTAGACCTATAACTAATGGAACATCTGAACAAATAAACAATATGCGAATAAATGCGCTAAGTTAACAAAGCAACAATTGGCAGATTACCATTGGGTAACGTCACCTTTATTTTTCATTACGGCTGAAATTCTTTGGGGCGTAGTACTAACCAAGTTTTGGCAAACATTTGGTGTAAAACAGTCCCATATTTATTGAAGCTTTTGTTTCAGTTCGGTGATTGTACGAGCAGGATGTTGTCATAGAACCTTTTTCATCTCGTGCCACAAAGTTTCAATAGGTGACAGATCTGGACTACTAGAAACCCATTTCAAAAGTGGTACATTATTTCCTTCCATAAATTTTATAGCCTTTTTTGAGGTATGGCACGCTGAACTATCTTGCTGAAACACAAAATCTTGACCGGATATCAAACATTCTTCCATCACTGGTAAAAGCGATTCTTATAAAACTGCCAAATATTTGTTTGTATCCATATTTCCATCAATAAAATGAAGTTTTCCTACTCCTTTTGATGACATACTGCCCCAGATCATAGTGGATGCTGGAAATTTCACTTTTCTCTTCAGAGAGTCAACATGGAATGCTTCATTTTTTTTGCGAATAACTCTACTGCGACTGTCTCCAACACAAACTTCGAAACGGGCCTCATCACTCCATTGTATTGCACATCATTGATGAGGTGTCCATTGTCTATGTTCTTTAGCCCATCTAAGCCGATTTTTGTTTTGTAGTGGAGTTAATAGTGGCTTTTCTTTGGCTTATAAACAAGTTGTGCAACTTTAGGGTTTTTACTTCACTTCTTTTTATAAGAAAACTTACCTTGCAAGTGCTAAATCCCAGTTTGTGGGCCTCTCTATGACTTGTGGCCCTCGAAATTCTCCTTCCAACAGCGTCACTCCACAGAGCACTTAGTTGTAAATAATTGGCACGCCTGTTTATCACGATTATTCTTCTTAATGCTCTTCGGTCGACAATTTGTGATATTACTTTTTTTCCCATATCGTGGATTAATATTAACTGCACCAGTTACGTTATATCTTCTGCCAATATTTCTCAAACTGTACCGCGATAAGTCTAACAAAATTGCAGTTTCTGAGTTTGATTTCCCTGAATTAAAAAAATTAATTATCAGTAAACGAATTTTCTCACTAATAACCTGTTCTCACTAATAACATTTCCTCTAACCATTTTGAAAACCTTAACTACCCAAAACTATTTTAAACGTATTCTGACAGCTGTGGTTAATAAAAACAATTGTCATGGCTTTTATTTTTCACAGCCACCTATAGGTTGATATGCTGTAATTGTGTATTTGTATTTGATAAGAAAAAAACTAAGATTTCAATAGTTGGGCCAACTGAAGTGGGAAGGGGCTCGTAAATGTCTAAACCATATTTTGAAAGCACTCAGTACATTTTCTTTTCAAATTAGTGAAACAATTACAACGATCCATGTGTCAAAGAAGACATACTTCAGCCACACGCATATGAGAATTTGTCGTCTTATATTTCATTATATTTTGTGCCCAAGCTATCGCTACTGCTTTTTGAATCACGCTGTACATACCTCCACTTCTTCGTAACCAATGTGAGAGTAACTTGAATTCAAGGAAAACCATCGTTTTCTTTTATCATTTGAAAATCTAAACTGGATGACAAAAACATTCGCTGAACACACCCTGGTCAACACTAAAAATGTTTCGGAACGTTTTTATCACTTGCAGGTTAAATTCAGTGAGCTTGTTACGCAAGTGTTGCACTGCTCTTTTCTTAACAGTTCTGGTTTTTTAAATTCACAAGCAAGTTGAAAACCATTAAAAACACGATTCTTACTCACTTTACTTTAAAGAGTCACTATGATTGAGGCAAAAATATCTCTGACGAGGCCGTATTGAATTTGATGAGGATTCCAGCAGCAATCAGCCATTAAATGTTTCCTCCACCTCCTTTGATAACTTTTCCACTGTGGCAATATCCTGGTGATACCGTTCGCCCAAATCTTCACTATAATCCCCAAAATTGTAAGGAAATTGATACAAATGATAACGTAAATAATGCAGCTTGATGCTCAGGTTAAAATATGGTTAAGGGCTTGTCACTTAACTAGATGTGAAATAAGAGTTAGATTTGTTTTCGTTCTTCAGTTTCCATGTTGTCAGGTCCAAAACATGATCATCATGTCGATGCTAACTGGTGACTACTTGTCCTGGTTAATGATGAAATCATGGGTGCCTTGAATTTAAGTATACAACCCTTTCCCACTTTGCCATTGTCAAAGAGACAAAACAATTTTTTTCTGTCGAACAGTATTTGGCACCCATGACTCCGGTAGACATCAAATATTCTCTCTAAAGTAGTTAAATTACGCAGACTTAATGAGGTCTGCGATCGATTTACAATGCTGCGTAAAGGTATTTTCGTCGCAATCAGAACAAAAAGTGCCTGAATTGTTATCTTTTTTTTTTGTAGCCGTTGTTTTAGTTGTGAAAAAATATATTAATTAATATTATCTGAAACTGATTTCATATGTAACATCATCATTAATTGCAGTTAGATTGAAAAATCTCAAAAATTTGAGCTGCTACACAAACACTGATGTGATTTTTGAAATATGCTCAGCAAAATATGCAATTTGATATTTTTAAAAAATCTTACGATATAAATATTTGATTATTAGCAAAACTATATTCGGTATTTGAGCCTATGGATCATTCATAAATCGTAGGTATGAGTTATATAAACTATACGTCAAGCCATACCTACATTCGTCCTCATTAGGCATGTTGTCAATAAGTAGATTAATGGGTACCGACGCATACACCTCGAGCGTTTTCTTTTGAGATTCCTTCCTACGTGCTGCAGTAAATTGCAGCAAAACATTTCCTTATGACTTTTATGCGGACATTCGTCGAGTATTATAATATAACAACACCTTTTAACAGGACACAGAATATCTCAAATTATATAAGAATGGTATCAGTCTCGGAAACATCAACTGGTTCAACAATATTATTGTAGAAATGCAAGCATCTTCAGGGCGGGTACAGAGGGTGACAATTCTTTGAAGGCCATTATTTTTGTATACCGCCTAACGTGACCAGAAATTGCAAGACAAGACTTGACCCCCAAAAGTATTGCTCGTAGCGCGCCCCCTTCAAAAAATAATTTTAGGTGGATTGACTCTATACCTTCCATCCATCCATATACTCGTATTATACGTTAAAAAATGTTATACGTGAAAATCACCACTGCACAAATATCGTTACAGAAATGAACCTTGCCACATTAAATAAAGATATCCCCTGAACAAATTTTGTCTATGCTCTGCCAAGATGACCAAGAAATTCCAATTTCCTCTGACCACGCAAAAATATTTCTAAAAATGTGAAAAGTATACAAACACGAATTTAAAGATTTAAAGTTTCGGGGCGATCTCCCTCCTCTTCGTTACTTGCTTGTAAGTCTGTCAATGAATTGATCTCTAAAACTGAATGAGCAGTCTCTGCTGTGCGCCAATTGCATACCCATCCCCAATTTTGATCAAAATCGTTGGAAACGTTTCTGAGATTACACGGTTAGAAGAACACCGATGGCCTGATAAACAGACGGAAGTAGGTGACATAGACATTATAGCGATTGGAAATTTTCGCTGCCCCAATGCAAAATGGCAAAATGCTGTTAATTTTTTTAATTGCAATCGTTCCAAAACATTTTTTGACTGAGGACAAAAATTATCATGTGTAATAAAACACATAAACGAAACTTGAAGATGATCTGATATGCTTTTTTATATGTATCATCATTTATCATTATTATCAGTTGCACGACTATAAAAACGACAATACGAAGACGTTCAAGAAACTTTTGTGAGCTGAAATTAATCATCTTATGTTCTTTACAAAGATATTTTCGTGAGAACCGAAAAAGTACCTCCTTTAATAAACATTGGTGTACATTGCCGTTCAAATTATGGTCAAAATTGATTGACAAAACCACTGGACGCAGCTTCTTAACTTCCCATGGGGACTGTTACTTCTTACCATATTTGACCGATAAATGAAACCACAGATGGTTAAAGAAAAATATAGCCGCTTCAGCTACCTCGGTAGCCTTTTCCAAAATACACCATAAATGAGGTTGGTTAATTAAATTTTCATGTTGTTCACGTCTTCTTTCATCATCATATGCGGTTTCTCTAACTGACCAGGACATCAACACCAAGCCCAGTCACACTATCTTCAGTGAGCAAAGTGCATAGTGTGGGACACATCAAACAGATAGTATGATATGGGAGCCGTCTCTATGGTGAAATCTGTATAATGAAGGGTCACCTGAGGACTGGTAAATGCGCACACCTTTCGTTATCATCATTTGACGCCTGTTCTTAACCTCAAATCAACAAAATGTCCGTCATTTTCAACAATATTCGTAAAGACAAATATTTTTGTCACTAAGCGAATACCAAAATTATTTTCCTCTTTACTCTTCTTTAATTCCCACGCAACTGGGCGATGTTACTACTACCCCAAACCCTACCATACACGGCAAAAGTAAATCGTTTCATTTTTTCAACTACGAGCCCCTTCCCACTTCAGTTGGCCCCCTTCAAGATTTGTACCAAAATATGCCTTTATAAACTAAACATGACGAAACTATTTACTTCTAAAACAATTTATGTTCTCAAAAACATTTAAGATACACTCTAGTTGTAAAAAATACATATTTGAAATCACTTAGACCTATAACTAATAGAACATCTGAACAAATAAACAATGTGCGAATAAATGCGCGAAGTTAACAAAGCAACAATTGAAAGATTACCATTGGGTAACATCACCTTTATTTTTTATTACGGCTGAAATTCTTTGGGGCATCGTGTTAACCAAGTTTGGCAAAAATTTGGTGTAAAACAATCCCATATTTCTTGAAGCTTTTATCTCAGTTCGGTGATTGTACGAGCAGGATGTTGTCGTAGAACCTTTTTCATCTCGTGCCACAAAGTTTCAATAGGTGACAGATCTGGACTGCTAGAAACCCATTTCAACAGTGGTACATTATTTTCTTCCATCCATTTTATAGCCTTTTTTGATGTAAGGCACGCTGCACCATCTTGCCGAAACACAAAATCTTGGCCGGATGTCAAAAATCCTTCCATCACTGGTAAAAGCGACTCTTCTAAAATTGCCAAATATTTCTTTGTATCCACATTTCCATCAATAAAATGAAGTTTTCCTACTCCTTTTGATGACATACTGCCCCAGACCATAATGGATGCTGGAAATTTCACTTTTCTCTTCCGTCAA